AGCGGCACCGGGTCACCTCTTCCAAATCTCTACCAACTCTGAGGAAGAAGGGAGAGGTGGGTGAGCTTGCAGCAAAGGCCTGGAGCCCCAAAGTGTGGGGCTCCCTGCCTTCTTTGGCAGCTTTGCAGGAGCCCCCTCCCTGCCCTCCTCTCTCCTCACCGCACCAAGTCGCACAGATGTCCAGGCTCAGCCTGGCGTTCCCTTTGGTGAGCTTGGTTCCGAGGGTCGCAATGGTGGCCATGGCAACATCAGAACATACCTGAAATATGATCAGTCTCCTGTTCTGAACTGTTCTCAAGAAAAGCCTCTCTTTCCTTTAAAGGAATAATCAAATAGGAGATCAAGGAACAGAGCCGTCTTAGGTTAAGCATCATTTAGGAGTAATATACTGTTCTGTTGTTCTACGCTCCTCCATTTGTATAGGAACAAATAAAGGAGTCAGCTAGCATGGCTGACAGTTGTGGAGGAGAAATGTTTAATAAACTAAACATCTTGGGGATCAAGTGCAGTGTTTGTGCATATCTATTCTGTTTTCATATTGTAGCTGTAATTCTGTAGTTAAAGTAGGTGTAAAAAGCAGAATCAGGATGCATTAGAGATTTTAAGAAGTCTTTTTCTGATTCAGTGGCTTAGGATAAGACTCGACATGAAGGTCGAGTCAGGTGCAACATGTTCCAGAAAGCTGCAGCTAAACAATATCGTGTAAATAGAATTGTTCTCCTCCAGTCATAAATGTATTTAAGCTTGAGAAGAGGTCAATTTGGCCTCACAAGGTACATTATATTATTCTATTAGTTTTAATTATACACAACTCTGCAAAGAAAATAATCCCCATTAATTTCATATTTTTTACTGACTTCGAGTAAAATTACTGAAGTGTGAAATGCTATATTCAAGACTCTTGAGGTTCAGTTGATATAGATGACTCATTTAATATGAAATGCAGCTTAGAAAAGATTGACATTGCTTTTAGTTTTGTCTTTTGGTCTTCATCTTTCAGTCATTGCTGCTGGAATGTGTAGGGACTGTATGTTCAAACATCAGCTCCATCCACCTTTCTTCTGGCTGACACTGACATGCTCATCCTTCATAAATTGCATTTGAGTGATCTTCAATGTCTTGTTCATGCAAAAAGCAACTGTGGCTTAGTAAAGGCGTAATTATTCACCTGGAATTATAAAGGCTTTCTAAAATCAGAAATACTTATTAGACTATAATGTTTCTTAAGGTGCAAATATCATTCTGGAATTCATCTTTCTGCTCTAAATGCATTCCTGTCTTCATAGCAGCATTCCAGTTATTAATGAGTAGCAGAATTTTCAGTTTTTCATTTTTCTCCCTTCATTTTTCTAGGTTATTCAACAGAGAAATGAGGAATGTGACCACATTCAGTTTTTAATTGAAGAGAAAGAGTCTAAAGAAGAGGACTATTATGAAGACCTTGACAGATTTGAAGAAAATGGTACCCAAGAGTCTCGCATCAGTCCCTATACTTTCTGCAAGGCCTTTCCTTTCCACATAATATTTGACAGAGATCTGGTGGTCACGCAGTGTGGCAATGCTATATACAGAGTCCTTCCACAGGTTAGATGATTCATATGCATGGATAGTCATAGAGATTCCAAATGCTAGATGCTTCACAGGTTTATTTTAAAGATAAAATAGATTTTGGATTCGCTATCTGAACCGCATTCCTGTGAAACTACACAATTTTTACGACATTGGCTGGGAAAATAGCTCTAATTCTACACGGCTCTGTTCCTTATGACCCTGTCCATGTGCAGTAATAGAATAAGGTTGAGCAGAGACAACGTGATCAACCCCTCAATTCAGGCATTAGCTTGGTACCTAATTCTTGTAGCTCATCCCAAGATACATTTGCTGTGAAGGTGGCAGGTAACTCTTTAAAGCGGATGTGAGACAGCCCCTGCAGCTTGGCCTGGGGTTCAGGAAATGGTCCTGCCCATACTACTGTACAGAGTAGCAGCAGATATATAGTCTATATATATTACTCAATTACAGTGCCTTCAAATACTTAAGCTGTGAGATGCACAGTGACCAAAAAAAAAAAGAATAACAGAAGTTGCAGTATACTTTCTTGGCTTGTGCATCAAAAGCATCAGTGTTAACTAAGATGAGCCCAATGATGTTTGTGACATACATGTATGTTGTGAACTAAATGCAGGTGCTGCAGTTTCCTCTGGTTATTTCCAGTAAGAGAGTTCTCAGAGGTCCATTTAATGTCGTGTATTCTGTATATGAACAGGATACCTCAGTTCTTGCCTGAAAGAGCTCACAGTGTTTCTAAAAAGAAGCAACAAGTAAAAGCAGTAATATGAAAAAAGCAAAAGGCAAGATGATCTTTACAATTATATAGGTTAATGTTGCACATACCTTGTCTCTAAATAGTTGACGTACTTTTAAAATGCAATGTAATGTTATCTTATCGAGCAACTAGTTTTTGGTGTTTTCTCCCTGAATTTCATAGAAAGATTTGAAAGAAGAGCTTTGTAAGTAGCTCTGCCAGATTCTTCCCGGGGCCATTGACTGAACAGCTACAACTAACGATTGAGCTTGCTGAGGATGGCTATCGGAATCCTTATTATCAGAGTTGGTGCTTTAGGAAACGTAGCTTATTGAAGACGGAGTCTGAGGGAGGTCACTTTGTAGGAAAAGTTTTTTTACAGTAGAGTGGGAACAGGGTGACAGATAATGAGTGTGACAGTTTAACACAATTTTACAAAGTCATTTTGCAGACTAGAATTGCACACTGAAGTCAATATACTTCTGATGTAAAATCCTTAATTTAAAAACTTTGTGTTTTAATGGAGAAATGCATAAAGAATATGTTCTTTTCCATTCAGTATTGTAATCTAAACAAATTCTATATGATTACTCCATGTGTATTTTTATTATAAAATACAACAATCTTTTCTTTTTTCCTTTTTTTCTTTTATTCTAGCTGCAGCCAGGAAATTGCAGTCTGTTGTCAGTTTTCTCCTTGGTCCGGCCTCATATTGATATTAGTTTCCATGGTATCCTCTCCCATATCAATACGGTCTTTGTACTGAGAACCAAGGTGAGTAGAGAATATTCACTTGGCTTTTCCTTAAGTAAGTATCCTTTGGAGAGATCTGAAGTGCAAAAAGCTCAGAAGTCGTCAGAAAAAATTCTTTGCACAGTAGTACACTCCGTTCCTTTTGACTTGTGAGCCAAGAAAAAGTCACAGGTGTGAATTCATGTGTAGCTGTCAAGTAAAGTGCTTTATAGGAATGGTGAAGTACATATACTTCATGTCTGATGCTTTCCTCGCAAGAGGCCAAGCCATTATATGTCATTGTACCAAAGAAAGTGTAGAAAGGCACTTGCATTTCCTTTTGGTTCATAAGAATATGGGAGGCAAATGGGAAACATGCTCTTGCTTGAGCCCATATGTTCAAACGCAGTTCTGTGTCCTTTTCGCTAGAGAGAGCAGGAGAGGAGGCAAGCGACGTGAGTGAATCCAGCATGTAGAACAGCACCTTCTGTGCCAAGGAGCCTGCTAATTTATGGGAAACTGTACCTGAGAGAAACCAACAAGATTTCTTGGAAATGCTCCCAGGCACAGATAGAAATTCATAGAATAGGCAATACTTTTGTCAAACTCTTGTTAAGAAATGACACAGAAGAAAACCAGAGGTTATGAACATGAATGTACAAAAAAGATCCCATGCTTTGTATTTTTGAGGTAGCAAATCACAGTATTAAAATACAGGTGCTGTATTGTGTTCAAATGATAAATGAATTGGGCTGTAACAGAGGCTGTAACATTCTGATGGCCTTCATAGCGCAGGCCTGGTGCATAACACAGGTACTATTGCTCTTATATAATTATGACTTCCCATGACCAGGAGGGGCTGCTGGATGTGGAAAAGCTGGAGTGTGAGGATGAACTGACTGGCACAGAAATCAGCTGCTTACGCCTGAAAGGGCAAATGATCTACTTGCCTGAAGCAGACAGCATTCTCTTTCTTTGTTCACCAAGGTACTTTAAACCTTAAGAGTTCTATAATACCGATTTTCATTTTGCAGTTACTAATTTTAAGAACAGTTACTGTGAGTAGTGCTACAGAGATTAAGTGGTTCAAGTATTGATTTAATTGATTTTGATGTGTTTCTACTAAAAGAGAGAGGAGCATTTAAACATTAGAACTTGACTGATTATTAAATAATTCAATATAAACATTGGGATATTCTGGCCCAGTTTGTACAAATGGGAATTCCTTATGGTTCTGTGATTTTTGGCAAGTTTTGTCTTTTGTTTTTTACTCTGAAAGTGCTAAGAAATGCATTTGGTTTCCTATGTGGTTTCCTATATTTTTGCGGTAGTTTTAATATAATAGAGTGTTGATGATTTAAAAGGTGGTTGGAATGAGGGATTGAATGGAGGACTTCTTTAGCTAAGAGCATGTTGAGCTAACGCATTAGATTACACAGTTACGATATGTTAATCTGTGTAAAAGGAAGAGAGTGGATGAAGACAGAAAGGGAAGAGGCTACCTCTTGTATTTGTGTACTGAAGTATGTACATTTGGAATGTTGGAACTCATCAAAGAGAATTCTGTCTTTAAATGCAGTAATCAAGAGCCATGTGGTAACCTGAATGAACACAAACAAAGTATTTCGTAGAAGGGAGGATATGTTGTATGGCTCATCACAAGTTCAGAAGCATAATCCTTCATCTGTTATTCAGCAGCCTCTGCTGTTTATTTGAGTTTTAAATGCTTCTTTGGCAGGTCTAATTGTGCCTGTATTATATATTTCTCCACATTGCAGTGTGATGAACTTGGACGATTTAACCAGAAGAGGTTTATATCTGAGTGATATTCCATTGCATGATGCTACCCGTGACCTGGTTCTCTTGGGAGAGCAGTTCAGAGAGGAATATAAACTGACTCAAGAGCTTGAGATCCTCACTGACAGACTGCAGCACACCCTGCGTGCATTGGAAGATGAAAAGAAAAAGACAGACACGTAAGAACCAAGTCCTCATTTTGAGCTGAAACAGTCACAGCAGTATATTATTTATAGCTACCTTCTTCAAAAAATAACAGGATCTTGGAAGGAATATGAGTGATGTTCAGGGCTGATAATTTTGGAGTCAAGAAAGAACATTTTACTTTAACGGCTCATAGGGTATTTCTTTATTTAGATTGTCATATGTCATCTGCAGTCTAGGCTGTTACATGCACAGATGTTTTGATGGCTCCTTCTCTGATATGGAAAATTATGAGAAGTGAACTGACAATTCTTTTTGCTTTGTTAATTCCCTGTGACAGTAGTTTTGCAGACTTTCTTACATGCAGTCCCTGTAGCCAAGGTGAATTTGATGAATGCCCAAATGCTGCTATTTGCATTTGAGTCTACCTAGATAATACTACTATCTAGATACAAATACATAACAATAATAAAGTAGATGCATTGGGGCCTAAATCCATTTCTATGGGTAACTATAAAATCAGATTCATAGCCTTAGTCTATGGCAGTTCAGCTCAAGGACTACTGGCAGGTAAATTTAAACAAAAGTTTGTGTGACAAGCAAGTTCCTGTCTCTGCAATAGAAGGATTTCTTGTAGGTTATGATGGTTTAGTAGTGAATGCTTGTTATGCTCTGAATTCTCTGGATAGATTTTTTTTTTTTCTGTAGTAGAGTAATGGAAATTATTCTAAAAAGACTGGAAAGGGATGTATGGAAAAGTCAGAGAGAAAACAAACCTAAAAAATATTTTCCTATTCATTCCTGTTGGTTTGCTTTATAAAGCCATTTTATCCTCAGGAATTCTAGCCTTCTTGGCAGCTACTAGAACAGACAGTGTCACTTACTAGATCATGAGCCAAAAACATTCTCTAATTACAACTCATGCGGTAGTGAACTTGCCAAAAATGCAGCTAATGAGGGTTTGTGAGGGAAGCTGTGGACCAAATGATGCTTAAGATTTGTGAAACAGCCAGAGATCTTCAGCTTCCCCGTTTATCTTAGGAGGGAAATACACCTTAGGAGGGCAGTTAGAAAGTTGAAGGAATACGCTTGAGAATAGGGTGAAGCTCTGTGTGTGTGATTCAAGTTTTATTTGCATAATTTGTAATATGAACAAGTGTTAATATGTCATATAGACTATTAACTAAAAAAACATGCAATAAATTGAAAACCAGGATTCTCAACAGAAGAGGAAACATTTAGCAATGAGGGAACTGATCCAAGGTGGAATGCCGTTCGGTCTCCTCATGGCCCTTTTTGCAGGTTTATATGGTTCCGTGAGCAAAACCGGATTATATGAGATGAGAATATGGCAGAAATGCTTAAGCAATAGGCAAAAATGATCCAGGATGCTATTAACAGATTGTCAGAAGAATTAGTAATAGGCGCCTGATTTTGTTGGTAATTTAAATGTATTAATGTTTGAATGTTTTAGATGTATTAATGTTTGAAATTTCACGGCTTTAGGTACGCCGTGTTTCCCAAATAACATGTTCAGTAAACATCTTTTGTATTGCTCTTTGATGGTGTGAGTCTGTTACAAACCCTATGAGAGGTACTAAGTTAATATCTGAAGAGTGCCAATGTAAAGACCTTTCTCCACATTCTTTCTGTTTTGCTTGTGCCTTTCTTTCCTTACACGTGTAGGTTACTGTACTCTGTTCTACCACCATCAGTGGCAAATGAGCTGAGACACAAGCGTCCTGTTCCCGCTAAGCGGTACGACAATGTGACCATTCTTTTCAGCGGCATTGTTGGATTCAATGCCTTCTGTAGTAAACACGCCTCTGGAGAGGGAGCCATGAAGATCGTTAATCTTCTAAATGATCTTTACACGAGGTTTGACATCCTGACTGATTCACGAAGGAATCCATTTGTTTATAAGGTAAGTGGAAGATTTTAGAAGTATTTAATCTGTGGCTTTTCAGCGATTTACTATCATGTCACTCTTCTCTCTGCTTTGGATTTTATTTAAAAAAAATACTTATGTTCTCAATCTCTGGACTGTGTTACTGATATTGCGTAGCTAAAGAAGAGTATGCTGTTTATCTCTAAATGTGGGAGGGAACACAAAGGGCTTAGTTCTCAGCAGGATTTCTGCACAAATCACCCATTAGGTAGATATATAAATGTACTTCTGTTTTAAGCAGATGTGAACACTTACACAAGCAGTTTGTGGTTCTGCTGGTCCATTGCTTTAAGTTTTTCAGTCATATAGATGGGTCTCCTGGTTGTAAATTAAAACTTAGTATTCAGTTATTCAGTGTGAATTTCATTCCTTTGTTAGGAATGAGGTGAGGTTGCAGATGGTAACAGGTAGACAGGTAGATATCTATCCCATATGTATGTACATGTGCATATTTGTGTGTTTATGTGTATAAGATTCATTCCTAGCTTTTACTAGATATCAATTTTGTGTCCTGTGCCAAGTGAGTCAAGGGTGTGAGTCAAAACAAACATAGTGCTCAGTTTCTACAGAAATTCAGAAGACCTCAAAAGAGAGGCTCAAGTTCACACAATCACAGTGTAATTTTAATTTCTTATGTTGTGGGCATACAGTACATTCTCTTCAGTAACAAGCAGAAATTATGGGAGTTAGGGTGATTTGAATGAAAGTGAAGGGACACTATTTGAAAGGACAAGCAGCCTTGAAGGAAGTGCTACATCCTTTCTAGTACTCTGAGCCCCACGATATTAAAGTAATTGAAAAATATTTATCTTGATAGGTGGAAACAGTTGGGGACAAGTATATGACAGTGAGTGGTCTGCCAGAGCCTTGCATTCATCATGCACGATCTATCTGCCACCTGGCATTGGATATGATGGAAATAGCAGGCCAGGTTCAAGTAGATGGTCAACCTGTACAGGTTAGTAAATGTGTAGACTTGAATGAAGAGCCCATTATTGATGTTCATCATGCTTTGAAATGTGATAATGCTCAAGGGCCAGTCCATGCAAGCTTTGTTATTGTTAGATTTCTGAGACACATATCTACAAATAATATGAGTCACATGTAAGTGTGACATGGGCCATTCCCAGACCTTAAAATCCAGTTATTGTGCTGAACCTTTTAAAGGTCTGCAGCATTTAGGCCTGTTTTCCAATAATTTTAATCTAATCAACAAATTTCCATTGTGCATCAAGTACAGTTCATTGAGTCTTCTTCATCTCAGTGAACAGAACGATTATATTCCCTCACTGGTATTTTGGTTATGCTTCAGATCCTCACATCAGCATGAGAAAATACTGCATTTAAAAAAAATACAGTTCCATAAGCCATTATGACAATGTTTACTGGCAACAGTATATATTAGTGGAAACTCACTCATTGTGGGACATCCCTGGAAGTGTTCAAGGCCAGGCTGGATGGAGCCTGGAGCAACCTGATCTAGTGGGAGGGGTCCCTGCCATGGCAGGGGGGTTGGAACTAGGAGATCTTTAGGGTCCCTTCCAACCGAAATCATTCTGTGATTCCGTGATTCTATGAATGTGTTGTGATATTAATACAGACCTGCGGAGGCTGAACTGACCTCTCCTCATCAAAAGGCTGTGAGAGCAAAATAAGTAATGAGTGCAATACGTATTTCTGTTTATGTGCATGTTACTGGTCTAACACCTTGCTTAGATCAGTATACTTCACTTTGTCACTATGCAAAGAAGTGAGGAGGGTAAAGTTCCAAAGATTTTATGTAAGAATAAGCTTCTCCAAATCCCTGTCGTATCTCTTGAGCTCTTAAATGAAGTGTATCATGATGTTGCCTCTGAGACATATCTTTATTCCTTGACCTACACCATCCATTTCTGCATCTTCTGAGCACTCATTAAATACATACCTGCAGTGTATGCCTTACCTCTCTTTGCACTTTTATTTTTGAGTTTCACAGTACGTAATAGCAGCATGGCGTGGTGCATGCTGGAAAAATAGGGCATTTATTCTTTCATGTAGGAGGCAGAGCCATGACAATGAACTTCCAAAAAAAAAAGTAACACAAAACACAAAATGCCAGACTTTGAAGAAACAAGAGTGGCACATTGCAGAAATAAACTGTAGTAGAGGGTTTATTTAATCAGAAGCATCAGATTCATTACAATGATTTTGAACGCTCAACTTTATCTTTTCCCTCCAAAGATAACAATAGGAATCCACACTGGTGAGGTAGTCACAGGTGTCATAGGCCAAAGGATGCCACGTTACTGTCTCTTTGGAAATACTGTCAATCTAACAAGCAGAACAGAAACTACTGGAGAAAAGGGAAAGATCAATGTCTCTGAATATACTTACAGGTGAGTGAAGCCATGTTTTTATTGATGTTGACATCTAAAAAGAAATCACTTTGTCAGCATAACATCAAAGTGTCTTTGGAGTTGAAAGTGACAGGACTCTTTCAACAGATTATTTAAGTACATGATTTCTCTTGAAACTGTGGCAGACTGCATTATGATACACTGTCATTGGTATGCAAATATAATAATGATGTAGAGAGATTTGAGTCTTCTGTTAATTTGCTCACGTATCTGTAGCATATTTAGTATTTTATGTAGTGCATGTCATGCATGCATAGTGCATATATTTACATGTTTTCTCTTTCACTTTCAGGTGCCTTATGACACCAGAAAATTCAGATCCTCAGTTCCACCTGGAGTACAGAGGTCCAGTTTCTATGAAGGGTAAAAAAGAACCAATGCAGGTTTGGTTTTTGTCCAGAAAGAGTACAGAGACAGAGGTATGACTAACCAGAGTGTAATTTTTTTTTTTTAACAAGGCATAAACATGACAAATTTTATCTAAACCACTGAGATCCATTTGCATTTGCGAAACTAAATGTTCCATAGAAAAACTGAAGAGTTTTACACAACACCATTTCATTAATATGTTTACCATCTCGACAGGACATTAAAATCCCTGATTATTTGTCTTTGCAGTTTGTACAGTCCCTGAAAGAATACTTTCGTGTTTTAAAAAGTCCTTGAGGGAATGTCAAGTGTTTAAATATTTATATCTCCCTCCTCTTACGGATTTCTCCACTGAACCAAATTTTGCAATATAATGTCCATTTCTGTTTAGCTGACATGTCTGGTTTTCAGCACTTCAAAATTCACCATTTGCTTTCTTACAGTGAATGAATAAATATGTGTTCAAATATTTAGGCAACAGTCCAGCAACTGCTTGCAGGCAGCTTCACACCTGATGTGTGTGGTGGTCTCTTAACCCCAGATGGATCAACTTTTCCAAAGACTGTTGCGTGATAGAGGACTTGCTTTAGACATAACCAGGGTGAAAACTATTTCTTCTTAAATGACATATGAGCCTAAATTCTCAGGATTATGTAGGGTAAAGCTCTCCAAGCACTGAGTGGTCTTTAAGCTTATGCCTCAATTTCAGAAGTCTGGGCATGTATTAACCAAAATCTTACTAAAAGCCAATGAGATTGAGACTCTTAAGTGTGCTACTAACTTAGACACTTAATCAGGTTACAGTATGCCAGCTGATGTGCTATAGCACAGTAGGTGCATACGTTCCACCCATTGCCAACAGGGAGAAAAAGATGGTAAAAGTAAATTACATAGCTTGAATTTTGTCCTGAAGTAATACCAAGAGTTTTAAGCTAGTGTATTTAGTCTTAGAAACATACCTGACTAAAATAAGGAAAAGTCATCCATTACCTTGGCTGAAATAATTCTTGTAAGTCACAGGAAATTAATTATATGTCTGCATACTCACATGCTTCAGAAAATGGAATTTAGGCTGTTAAACTGTTTGAGGTCTTTAGGAGACCTAATCCAGATTTATTACCACTGGTACCCAAGTGTATGAATACTGCCCTTTTTAATGGTAGCTCCCAGTATTAGCCCCCAGTATTAAACTTTAAGGGAGAACCTGTACTTTAACTCTGCTGAAGTCTGTATTTTAATATCTATCACTTAAAATAAGATTCTGGGTACCACTTTTGATAATATTTTTCTGGTTTTATTCTATATCAAGGTTAACTATAATTCACATGACTACCATTCTTTCAAATCTATAATTGTATTTAAAATATATTTTAATTAAACAGCTTTCACTTTTTTCTGCATTATAAATTATGTCCTAGCATTTGTAGCAGGGCGCATTGTAGTTTTAAATGTAAAATTTCAGAGGGGTACTGAGTCTGATAGATATTTTCCTTGTCTCAGCCTCACACTTGTTTAATATGAATATAGGGTTCAGATAGTTTAGAATTTTTAGCATTGCAGTTTCCTTGTAGAGACCTTGCACAACAGTTGGTATTGTTAATTCTCACAGCAGTTCTGAGAGGTACTTCCTGATACTGTTATCTCGTAATTGAGCTTTGTAGAGGGAGTCATGGGGGCAGGAATAAACCTGATAGAAAAACACTGTCAGCCTGATTTCCAGGAGCACTTAAGACTCATAATTTAAGCACACTCAAAAAGATTTCCAAATTTTTTCTTAGTTTTTTTTAATTCTGAAATTCAGATATACCTGTAATTCTTACAGATAGAAGGGCTTCTCCCGTCATAGGTATCTCTTCTAAATTGTAGTAAGTTTGGGTGAACAGGACACTAAAAAGCTACTTTCATGTGGTGATTGGAACTGATAATCATTTTGTCAGAGGTGATTTTGAAAAGTAAAGGAATATAACCATCTAATCTTTAATTCTTTTTCTCTGTACAATTCCATCTGATAATACACAAAAAAGATGCACTGAATGTTGTTCCTTTAAGATTTTCTAAACTGTTTGCAGTTTGTCTTGTGTAGGTACTCTTCTTGTTATTTCTGGCACTTTGTAGGCTGCACATCATATTTGTGATCCAAAAGCAGAAATCAGATAAACATTTTTTATGTTTGATTACCGTAGAGTAGTCACTTTGCTTAAAGGCGAGGGTGTAGCCTTGGTTTTCTCTTCATAATGTTACTCTCACTGACCTCTCGATGACATACACACACTAGCGTGTTAGCATGTGCAGCGCTGTTCATAAAACCAAATATGGCATGTTAACATATATGTGGGAACTACATGATAAAATTCCTGATCGATCACTCCAGAATATTGCAAGAAGTGGCTTGCAGAACTAAACATGAAAATATTTCTTAAATCATCCTGGAGGTATTTCTCCTGATTATTCTTTTACTGTGAAGTTTTCTACCTCCAATATCTTTAAATCTAGGATGGATGCACATTAGTGAGATATTCTCCTTTTCATCATATTCTTAGAGAGTGATAAGCTTAGCATTTGCAAATCTGTCAGGATAATAATTTACTCTGAAGCCCAGTGATTAATATATGGTGAGAAAAGAGGACAAAATACTTGCAGCTGGCACAGAGATATGAAACGAAGTCTTAAAATTCGGTGTCTCTCTGCAAAGCCTGTAGAAAATGATGGGGTTGGAGCAGCTCAGCATACCTCAAACTGGGTTTGTAAGTTGGCACCTCTAATATCAGTCACCATGAGAAGCAATTACTTCTGAGAAAGACCTAATTTACAAGAATCAGTGTTGGTTTGGAGTGCTCCTCTTTTAATTTTTCTACTTGATACTCTTCCATGATACCATTTCAGCAAAAAAGAGAAGTGCATCACAAATATACATAGAATAAAAGCAGCTATGACCAATTATTCATTCCGCATCCACTTGTTTGGATGTTATAAGGTTAATTATTATTATTATCCTTATTATTTTAACAGAGGTTCAGCTGCAGCTTCTTTCTTGAGAAACAGATTTGTTGTAAAACATAAAGCTTGCAGCGAACCTCAGATGTCTGACTGCAATTTCCATCACTCTCCACTTTCAAATATCTTTCTTTTCTGCCCTGTCCCCACATTACTGATGGGAGCAAGCTAAAGTATCTCAGACAGAGCTGATAGTTCCTCAAGGAATGTAGGAATTGTTATGTTCCTACGTACAGCAGACATGAAAGAAATACGGGCATTACCTATGTTTTGTTTCATTATTTTTATTATGTACTGATATTGGTTGCAAGTTGTAAAATGTATTTTGTCACTGCATTGACCCACCTTGTTGTTGTTTCAAAGAAAATCCCTTACTTCTCCAATTCTACTTGCATGCACTCAAGGAAACAAAGCAAGATGCTTTCTGAGCTGAGGGAAGAGGAAGAGGACGCTGGATAGGGTGCAGTACTGTCTCCAAATAGGGTGCCAGGCAGTAAGGCTGAGTTATGGATGTTATTTCGCATCATATCTCCCATTGCCATATGCAGCACTGTTGTCTTTTGCCCTACTTCTGACATCATACTCCCCATTTTTCTCCAGGCTTGCTTGCTATATATTCTTTTCCCTTAATGTTTGGTATTGTTATATCTCTGCTATGAGCATGTATTTCAAGCTTTCCTTTTTTTTTTAGTATGCATTTTTGCACGTCAGTCATGTTGCATTTCCTACCACCAGATAATATTGAAAAAATTTTGTAGTCCACACACCAGAACTAACCACTTCAATCTGATGCTTCACATCTTCATCTTCATTTCTGAGGTATAGTGGTTATGTGAATCAGTGACATTTCTGGAAAGATAGGTATTTCGGTTGTTGGGCAGAACAGTGAACCTAAAGACTAATTTTAAAAAATAACCCCTGAAGCAGCATGAATGAAGTTATTGTATAGATGTTGTTTATCAGATTTACTTCTGCTATTACCATGCTTCCCATTCATTTTGTGAGTAACACTTGATGCACTGTAAACTCCTGGTTCGAAAAAGTTTCCTTTTTTGATATCATCCTGCATTTTCCCTTTGTAGACATTGTGTAAACATTTTCTGTGTTGAAAGGGGGCAGTTGTTTGTCTGATACTGCCATTTGAAGCATGTGCCAATGTACTTCTACTGAAATGCTGTTCACTTGCGATGTATTTCTTATTGATTTGTATTACCTAAATTAAGCTGTCACGTTAATAATAGATTGCTGGTCAATTTTAGACCACTTGTACTGCTTTCATTGTTTTCTGATGGAACCCCCAAAACTGAAAGTCATGCTACTGGGACATGGTTGTCATGGTTGCCTTTTGATTTGGCCTCTCTAACTTTCAGTACTGATCTTATTTTATTCCTAGGGAGGACCTGATAATATTCTAGGCATCGTGGCACAATTAAAGGATGTAACGCTTGTAAGGGGACATAATGTCTTATGAGCTCATACTGTTGGTAAAAGTGGGCAAGGTTTCAAACATGTAGACCTTCTATAACTTTAGCAGACAGTGCATTTTCATGTGAATAATATCTGTTTTTATCTGACTGATAATTTCTGAATATTTGCATTATAAAATAGGATAGTGCAATTACTTTGTGTATAAAAATTGTCTCTATCTAGTATACCTTATCAGCACAGAATATATATGTATAAATGTTTCATGTTAATGTGCAAAAGAAATTGCAATAAATTATTTTTTCCACTGACTCATAGAAATTTTGGGATTTTCTTTTCGGTGTAAACTGTATTTCATTGTTTGATACAAAACAAATATGTTCTCCATTCCATAATTCAAAGTCCAAGTTTAAATAATTTATTGAGTCATTGTTCCAACATTTGCAAATGTCCAAGAGTCTCTCACATTCAGGTCAGTGGATCACATCCTCAGACTAAAGTAGTGTTCAAAATGTGTAGATCAACGCTCCAAAAACAGTAGACGAGGTCACAAAAATGCATACGTGCATTTGAAAGTCTTAGGCAACGTTTAACAACCGAGAATTATGAGCCGTCCACTTTGAGCAGGACGTGCGTTACCAACCAAAGCTTTAGGAATGAGGAATGGAAGAGAAGAAGCTGCACACGTTCCTTTCCATCATCTCCCTGTGGGACAACGACACATCCCAGCTCACCGTGAGAGATGGCCCTTGCTCTAAAGATACACAACAGTGATTTGTGCTTGAACTTGGCCTCTTCTCCCTAGAGAATACTGATAGGACAAGAGGAAATAGGTTCAAGTTGCACCAGGGGAAGTTTAGATTGGGGATTAGGAGAAACTTCTTCACTAAAAGGGTGGTGAAGCATTGGAATGGGTTGCCAAAGGAGGTGCTGGAGTCACCATCCCTGGACGTGTTTAAAAAGCGGCTGGACGTGGCACTTCAGCACATGGTTTAGTGTTACAATGGTGCAGGGCTGTAGGCTGGACTTGGATGATCTTCAGGTCCTTTCCAAACTTGATGTTTCTATGATTCTGTGTTTCTGTGATTTCTAAGTTGATGCAACTTACCGAAACTTTAATGGTGATTCCTAAAGGCGTGGCGTGTGACGGCTGTGGGTGTGTGTTTTTACATCATTGATGCAAATGGATATGAGGTAACCGAAGTTTCTGTAGTACGGTTCCAGCTGTTAGAAGATGGCATGCCGGAAAACTCAAAGAATGCTCTTAAATTTCTGTTTTACCTTCTTAATAATTTCAGAGTATTAAACCTCCTGTTACTCTGTAACATAACCAGTTTTTAAAGCACTAAAATAATAGCTCATTTATTGTGTCCCTTTTAGATATTTTCATCTCAGGGAAACCAGTATGATTAAGGCATTTAGCCATTTTTCTTTGCTCAAATTGGTTTTCAATCAAATGCCACATTCAACTACTAAAATTATACTTTGATTAAATATTAGTCTCAGGTAACAGTTAAAAACTTCTACAGGTATTTAGTTCTTTTTGTGTGTGCTTTATTGCTTCTTTTATTTAACTGTAGTGATTTAGTTTTTCAATAGAAGGTCTGTAGCTGCAACATGAGACATAGTAATTACCTAAGTCTATTTCAAAGGTATTTACAAATGCATCCAATCTATTTTAGTATTATTTGTAAAAAAAAAAAAAAAAATTGAAACAAGGAAAAGAAAGGGGAAAGCAGCAATGAAATTACAAATTATGGAATGCCTAGCTGTTTTTAATCTTCTGAGTTGTGTGCTTTCCTTTGAATTCAGATGTGCAAAAGACTTTGGTTTTTTGTGGTTATTATTAACTAAGGCTGTGGCCATGCAGGGGACTCTGCTGCTCTACTGCTGTTTTAAATTTGGCACTGCAGTTGGCTTCCATAATGGAAGGCTCAGTAATCTGATTGCTGCTGGTGTTTCCTGGTTAACATACTCCCTTGTATTCTCAATACAGGGCTTGAAAAACAGCAGAAGGACTCTTGCAGACTTCAGTAAATCCTGAAGCGAGCTTATTGAGCACATACTGTCAGTCTTTAGAAGTTACATTATAAAGACTTCCACAACTCCATATTTTTAGAGGCTGATCTTTTTATTGACCTTCCCCATGTGGAATTATATCAAAGTATATATTTTTTGTTAAATTTATATAGGAAGGCAAATATGTGTGTTTACTATTTTAGCAAAAATATTATCAATTCTAGCATAGTAAGAAGGACTTGATCATCTCAGAGGTCTTTTCCAGCCTCAACAATTCTGTGATTAGGTGATGTATTATTACTATGTTTACTTTCTAATCAATACACTGCTTACAGGCTTTGTTAGGATGCTACACTTATGAGCCTTATGCAGACAATTTTTATTTATGTTTGTAAAAACTGTAAATCTAGTCCTCAGTGGGAACAAACTCTAGGAACATAATTTCATGTTTGATACTTTTTTGGGGAAATAATCTGAATGATAAACAATGAATGAGGTACTCATTTGGATATCTATTTACAATATAACAACAGTTATTCTGATATTTTTTACTTACAAAAAGAAATTAAAATGATGTACTACTGTGTCTACGGAACTAGAAGAGCTTTATAAGTAAGAATAGCTTGAAAACTGTCTTGGAACTTTAATGAATGGCAAGGGCAGAGGTGGAATACTGCTTCTTTTCACACCGTCTGTGTTTCTGAAAAGTTACATGTGGGAGCAGACCAAACAATAAGCTACACAAGCAGAACTCCTTTTTCCTTTGGAATAGTGTGGGCTTGCAAACTTTGCCGTTCTGGCAAACACATGTACAGATGCCAAAGCTGGGAGCTGGAATTGTTCAGCCTGGAGAAGAGAAGACTCCTGGAGGACCTTATAACTGCCTTCCAGTACCTGTAACGAACATACAGGAAGGCTGGAGAGGGACTTTTTACAAGAGTTTCCAGCAATAGGACAAGGGAAAATGGATTTAAACTGAAGGAGAATAGGTTTAGATTGGATCTTAGGAAGAAAGTCTTCAGTACGAGGGTGGCAAGACTCTGGAACGGATTTCCCAGAGAGGCTGTGAATGCCCTCTCCCTGGAGATGTTCAGGGCCAAGTTGAATGAGGACTTGAGCAAGGCCCCATGGCAGGGAGGTTGGATTGGATTATCTCTAAGGTCCCTTCCAACCTAAGACATTTTATGATTCTTGATCTGGAAAGTGCAATCAAGTCAGCAGCTAGAGCTGAAGATTGAATGTTAGGACTCTAGCTCTGATCTCTGATTGATATCACAAGCAATTGCACAGCTCATATTTCAATTCTTTTCCCTCCTGTATCCAGCACCAGCTAAGCTGTAATGATCTTAGAGGTATAACATTTCTCCCTTGCCCCAAAATTTGATGGTGTAGGAGAATGCGTCATTATTCATGAAAGTAGTAGTCTTAATCGTTATTGCTGTGATTTTTGCTAGGACTATCCACTAAGTCCAGGTGAATGCACGCTTAAATTTTGCAGGATCTGGGGATCACCTTTTTGTTCAACTTTGCTACAGATTTGTAAGAGCAGGACACGGCAGTATATGTCCTAGACCTGGGTACTATTTCCCAGAAGACTTAATTCACCTGCTGCTACCGGGCTGCGTTTTGCTTGTTTGTTTGTTTTTAGAGGAACTGCATGTTTTTATTCTTACCTCACGAAGGCATCACTCCAGGCAATGATTTATTAACACCCGGAAAAGTCAATTTACCTCTTACATGTGATATGTACATACATACATATGTACATATACATACATATAAAGAACTTTCTCCAGAAAGGAGCCAATGAAGACAAAAGTGCAAAAGCCAATTAGGTTATCACAGAATCAGACAGAATCACAGAATATTCAGGGTTGGAAGGGACCTCAAAAGATCATTCAGTCCAGCCCCCTGCCAGAGCAGGATCACCTACAGTAGGTCACACAGGAACGTGTCCAGGCGAGTTTTGAATGTCTCCAGAGAAGGAGACTCCACAACCTCCCTGGGCAGCCTGTGCCAGCGCTCTGTCACCCTCACAGGGAAAAAGTTTTTCCTTATATTTTTGTGGAACCTCCTATGCTCCAGCTTGTGTCCATTGCTGCTTGTCATTGGACATCACTGAGAAGAGCCTGGCTCCGTCCTCCTGACACTCCCCCTTGACATATTTATAAACATTAATGAGGTGACCCCTCAGCCTCCTCTTCTCCAAGCTGAAGAGAACCAGCTCCTTCAGCCTTTCCTCATAAGGCAGATGTTCCACTCCCTTCAGAATCTTTGTGGCTCTGCACTGGACTCTTTTCAGCAGTTCCCTGTCTCTCTTGAGCTGAGGGGCCCAGAACTGGACACAATATTCCAGATGTGGCCTCACCAGGGCAGAGTAGAGGGGCAGGAGGACCTCTCTCGACCTACTAGCTACTCCACTTCTAATACACCCCAGGATGCCATTGGCCTTCTTGACCACAAGGGCACATTGCTGGCTCATGGTCATCCTGCTGCCCACCAGGACCCCCAGGTCCCTTTCCCCTACTCTGCTCTCCAACAGGTCAGTCTCCAACCTGAAGTGGTACTTGGAGTTGTTCTTTGCCA